CCTTCTTGTCCAGTCCCTTGAGTCCAAATCTGGGCTTCACCCTTTCTAACCGTGGGGACTTGGTTAACTTTCTTAACCTTCTGCTTTCATTGCCTCATCAGTCATGCTGAGGATTAAATGAGATAGTAGGTGTGACTGGCCCATAGTAGGTCCTCAGCAACCATCAGAGGCTCTTATAATTATTTTGATAAGTGGGTGTGTGTGCAAGGGCAGCCAGGTTGAGAAAGCAGAAATGTTCCAGTCCTATTTGAAGAATGGGGTGAATCTGGCTGAGAGATTGGACCTCTGACCTGAGGGAAGACAGAGGAAACCTTTGGGGGCAGCATGAGGAAGGGCTGTTGGTCAGTGGCTGTGCCCCAGCTCCTGGCATATAGCATTGCTGCTCATCCGTGGGCCCGCTGACCACGTCCTCTCCATACCCGGGTTGACCTGGGTAGTCTCCTCACTGAATTTCTCTCCTTCCGCCTAGCGCCTATGATATCTCACTTCTCTACATTTGGCTCTCAGTGAGCGGAAGTGAGGGGTGTCAGGGTGTGAGCCATTGAAGATTTGAGAGGGTGTAAAATAAAGTCCAGTCATCCTCCTTCCGACCCACTCCCCACTCCTCACCTGCCCAAAGAAACAAGGCCACGGTCTAATCACACGGGGTCTGAGAACGGGTGAAAGGCAAGGGAAAAAAACTCCGTGAGTCAGTTCACCACCAGTTCATTCATGATTCTCTGCTTCCTAAAAAAGCCCTGACCACGTGAGCTTCTTTCTCTGAGGCGCAAATGCTGGTGGGTGTGGGATGGTCCCTTCCTGGGCAGGCGGGATGGAGGCTTCGTTACAGAGCATTTGCTTGACTTCTGTTGTCATGAACACGATGAGCAGCGTGGCTGGCTCAGTGTGCACACGGTACCAGGAGGGGGGTTCCAGCCCCCGTGACTGTGCCTCCCCCGCGCCCACAGTGGCTCTATGGAGATGGATCTTGTCGCTGCCGTGTGCCGACTGTTCCAGACAGTGCAGGGGAGGCCGTGGGGGCGGCTGGCGCACCAGACGCAGGAGGCAGCTCGGGCCTGCCGTTGCCTGCCTTTTCTGGAAGCCCACGCAGGCAGCTTCCGGCCGGCCTGCAGGAGACAGATTTCCCATTTGATGGGAGCAGCCTGGGCCTCTGCCATGGGGCCAGCAGAGGAAAGAAAGAAAGAGGGCGACGCTGGGCATGTGTCCCCCTCCGGGCAACAAGGACAGACCACCCTCTGCTGCGGCCTGAGGCAAGCAACCTGTCTTTAGGCTGCAACTAACTCTGCCAGCTCAGCCCAGCTCTGATTTTTGGAAGGCACCACGTGATTAACTGAATCCCTGGTCTATATTCCTTACTGGATCCTTTTCAGATCAATGCTCAACTTAGCTTGGCCTCTCAGAGCTCACACTGGCTTCAGTGGAAGAAGGCTACTGCCTGGAAGGTGGGGTTGCCGGTTGGGTTGTGCAGGCTGAGCGCTGCCCCAGTGTGTCTCTGTGAGGACACAGTTGTAGATTTTTGCATTTCTTATGACAATTATCCAACAGATGGCAGCAGCGTGTCTTGAGGAAGGGATCCTTTTTTCTCATCTGCACAGAGGCACTGTGTGGGCTACTGCTGGTCCTGCTGAGAGGCCAGAGAAAACTCAGTGCTGGGAGTTTCCTGACAGATGATGTGCCAGATGTGTAAACCATGGGCCAACCTTGGCTCGGGCAGCAGTTTCCGTGCTCCATCGCTAGGCCCTCCTCCTCCCAAGCTCGCTCAGGGTGATGAACGCCTTGCTAGCTCCTCCTCCAACTTGATCTCTCCCCTCTTCCCAGCTCTGCTCCTTGCTTGCTCTCAGTTAGGCAATGAGTTGAAGGCACAATGCCTAACATTGAAGAACTGGTGTTTCCATCTGTCCCCACCTTCAGGAAAGCCCAGCCCGTGCCGGCTTCTCACTGGACTCAGGGAACTTCAGGCTCAGCTCAGGCACACAGCATCGTGGAGGCAGGGACAGCTGGCCCCGCCTGCCCACATTAGGCCCGGGATGTGCTCCTTCTCACCTCCTCCACCTCTGAGAAAGGGCACTAGCTCTCCGTCCTTTGGAGCCTTGAGCTGCTTAGCTCGTGGTTAGGATGTGCCGTGGTTATCCTGCAACCAGCAGCTGACCAGGCCAGCTCCAGGCCCCAGAGCGCTGAGTTGCCCACAGTCCTCCACCTAGAAACACACAGACCGATGCTGAGAGCACAGGAGAGCTCAGGGCAGGGACTGCCAACAATGGCCTGTGGGCCAAGCAATGGCCTGTGGGCCAAGCACCACTGCGGACCTCGAGCTAAGAAAGGTTTTTACATTTTTAAGAGGTTGAAAAAAATCAACACAAGAATAATATTTCATGACACAGGAAAGTTATATGAAACGTAAATGGCTGTGTCCGGAAGGTTTTATTGGGACACAGCCACGCCCGTGTGCCTTTACGTAGATTGTGCATGGCTGCCTTAGTGATACAGTGGTAGAGTTGAGTAGTTGAGGCAGAGACCACATGGCCTGTATGACCTACAGTATTGACGACCTGGCACTTTACAGGAAAAGTTTGCCGGCCCCTGGCAGAGAGCACAAGAGGCCACGAGTGTCCCGGAAAGAGCCGTGGATGTGGAGATGAGAGACCTGGCCTTGATCCCCTCTTGCATCATTTAGCTGTTGTGTGACCTCGGGCATGCCGCCTTGCCCTCTGAGATTCAGTTTCCTCATCTGTAAATGAGAATATCAACAGGACGTGCCCCTCCTGTGTCACGTGGCCATTGTGGGGATCAGATGACTTCAAGGACATGCTAGTGCCCTGCGAGCTGCGAGGCCTGTGTGAATGTTCAGTATGATTTGCCCCAGAAGGGGGGTCAGCCCTGCCCATTCTCTTTCAACCTTTGTTTCTCATCATCTTTCTCCTTTCTGGCCTCCGGGCAGGGCAGAGATTTTCATAAGCCCTTCACCTCTCCCTGTGTTATTACAAGTTCCTGTTACCAGGAGGGCAGCCAGTTTTCATAGGTGGGTATTTTACCCTCTCACTGATCATCACATTAAAGGGTGGACTCAACCTATCAATCCACTTGCAACTGGATTGTGCTCAGGGAGATGCTGGTCACAGGAAACCATGGGGCTCTCACAGGACCCTTGGGGAGCAGGGTTTGATGCACTGTGCTGACAGTTTGCCAACGGAGAGAAGGGAGCCCTATTTTATTCAGCTTGCTCTTTCATCGATATATGCACTTAATTACAATTTAGGGTTGGCACAGGGCCCTAGGCCTTGTTGGGAAAATGGCAAATCAAATAGTCAGATAGTCTGGGGTTCTGCTTGAAGAGGAAATGTAAAAAAAAAAAGGAGGAAGAGCAGTAATCTCATCAGCCTCATTGTCACGCTATGGGACCCTTTAAAGAGCAGCTGTGAGGTGTGGCATCCCCCTTCCCCTAGTGTGATTGAAGGTCATCTGACATACAGGATCCTGCTCTGTACTCAGCCAACTGCATGGGGCTCTAGGACCCCATTTTGCCATAGAAAGTTCTCAGAGGTTAGAAGGCTGTCCACCCTTGTGCCTGACTTGACCTCCTCCTGCACTGGGTTCCCCTGGCTTCCCGATTCCTGGGCACAGCCTCAGCCAGAAAGTCCTGGAAGCTCCTTCCCACCCCAGTGCTGTCTGTTCTCTGGATCCCTGACCCTTGGCTGCCTCCTTGTTGCCTCACTTTGGCCCTGACGCTCTGCTTGTGGGCACTGGCCCAGCACAGGGATGCCGTGTGTTCCCAAAACCCTGCGTGGGCTCCTGCTTCCCAGGCCTCATCTGGCATGGCCTTGGGTAGCTCCCCCATCTTCTGAGATGCTTCCTTCATCTCCTGGCTTCCCTGCACAGTCTGCAGGGCTCCCTTTCCTGGCCGAACGATGTGGAATTGCAGAGTGAAAAGGACGCTTAGTGTTCTCACATTCTCTCACCTCTGGCGTGTTCTCCACAGCGTCTCCGGCAGATGGCTGTCCACCCGTGTGCTTGGCACCTGATCACTGCCTATGTGTCTTTAGGGATGAGAAACTCACTTCCCAAGGGCATCCCATTGCTTGTTGGATAGCCTTGGCCACTAGAAATGTTGCCTTTTTTGAGCTAAAATATCCTTCTTTATAATTCAACCCGCTAATTTGAATTCCACCTTCTGGAATGATTCAGAATGTCTGCTACTCCTTCCACAAATGCTCTCCACCCCCAACCCCCATCCTTTCTCCTGCTTCCCTGTGCCCAGTGCCCTCTGGAGTCCTGGTGCCCCTTCTGACTGACCGCTGTTCAGCAGTGGCCTTCGGGGACACCCCCGGGGCTAAGGCCAAGGCAGAGACATTTGAGTGTTCAAGGAATGGAGCAAAGATACAAGAAGCAGATACAGGTCTTTAAATGAGGTAATTTCTAAGTGTGCATTTGCTGGCTACTATTGGTGCCTCTAGTCTTTGCATTGGGTTTAGCCTTGACAATTTTCATTTACAGAATCCATTTTCCCCAGTGAATTTTTACACTGTGATGAAGCATGGAGAACAGATTGGAGAAGGCAGAGCAGATGCAGGGGGCCCAGTAAAAGGCATTTCAATATCCAGGAGAAATGTGCTGGGGTACCTTGGATTTGGGCTGATTCATGCATCCCAAGGCAACATGTTAGTCGATAAAAACTGAAGTCCACTCTACCCCTGATTTATGCTATGCAATCAATTTAAAAATGACCATTTGACTATTTTCCAGCTTTACTGAGCTATAACTGGCATATAACATTGTATAAGGTTAAGGTGTACAATGTGTTGATCTGATATGCTTATGTATTAGCAAGGAACATTTGGAACCAGTGTCAGGCAACTTGGTTGTTGCTCAGTTACTGACAATGATCATGACAATTCATGCCTTGATAGAGGGAAGGGTGGATGGTGTGGTAGTTACTTTGGGGCCTCTGTTCTTCCCTCCTCAGGATCCTAATGAACTGAGGCTTTCTCTGACCCCTTTCTCAGGTAACAGGTATGAAATTAAGGTGTACACTGGTGATGTCATTGGTGCAGGAACAGATGCGGATGTCTTCATCAATATCTTTGGAGAATATGGAGACACAGGTAATGGGTTTGAAATGCTTTCTTTCACAAACCATGCCCAGAAACTGCTTCTTAGGTGGGCTGTTTCCTCCCCTCCTCGCAGCCCCAGTTTCTCTAGGCTCCTCTGTTGAGGATCTCTCTTCTTATGATGTGGTTTATCATGGGCTCCTCTGGGCAATAAGGTGTTCATCTTGTAAAATTTATGTGTTAATGTATTTTCAGGGTAAGGTATGCTTAGGTTTTGGCTTGATTTAAAATTGTCCTGCACCCTACAACAGATCCAAGCTCCAATCACCATGGAACTCATTCTCACTTACCCTCTTTGTCTCCCTAAGCTGCATGTCCATCTTGAGTTATATTCTGGGATGTGGCCTGGCCTGATTCAATGTAGTGGTTTGGGGCAGACCAGAATGGGACCAGGGATAGAATTAGATTTGGCCTCATAGATGGAGCAGGAACCGAGGACACAGACACAGCTACAGGTGTTAGGAGGAAATTCAGGCCAGCGGAACTGAGGCAGATGGTTCTCTCCTGCTTCTGCCAATTTAATGGAAAAACATAGGAGACAGTACAGCTACCGAGACATGTTAATTTTGGACACAATATATTGAAAAACTCAAAATGCATTGCTGAGCTTATAAGAATAAAAAAAGTCTCCAGGTGCCGGAAATGAAGAGGGAACGCAAAACCAAAATATTAGCTACGAATTGATGCTGTGGCTCTTGAAAAGAGGGAGCTTTCACATTCAGCAATCTACAGGGTGGATTTTATACCATTTGAGGTCATAAAATGAGCTCTTGGCCCTTCATGAGGCAAGATATGCAAAATTAGAACCACACATAAAGTCAGGAGTCTTGAAGGTTCACAGGAACATTTTCAGTGAAAAAATAGAACAGAAAAACATTTGCTCATCAGTATAGTAAACTTATCTCTGCAAGAGCTCCAGATTAAAAAGACAATTGCTGAGAAATTGTTACCTTAAGCTTGTACCACATGTGGGCTTGAGGTTTGATTTTACACTACAAGTGTGCTTTGGGGACTTCCTCTCCCCAAATACAGAAAATTGGTTCCATGCTAGTAATACCCTTGGGTACTTAGCAGAAGAATTGGGGGACTTCCTTTCCCACAAATACAGAAAATTGGTTCCGTGCTAGTAATACCCTTGGGTGCTTAGCAGAAGAACTGCGATTCCTATAGATGAAGTACTGAAGATGCATGCAGTTTCCAAAACCACAAAACACTTATGGACACAATTCAACATGGCTAAGCACCAATAGATACAACAAACAATGAGATTAACACACTCACACACACCCTCCGCCGCCCCCCTGCTGAATTTCAGATAATAGAGTAACCTGAAAAAGACTATAATTTAAGTATTTTAAACTATCAACATGAAATATGCAATTGAAGAAAATAACAGGTACCGTGAAAAATATAGCAAACAAAAATACAGGAAATGGCCCTGGACAGGTAGCTCAGTTGGTTAGTGTGTTGACTCAATATGCCAAGGTTGTAGGTTTGATCCCTGGTCAGGGCACATATAAGAATGAACAAATGAACACATAAATAAGTGGAACAACATTTCAAGATTTTTCTCTCTCTAATATCAATAATTAAAATTAAAAAAAGAAATACAGGAAATAAAAATATAGTGAATAAATATAAATGCCTACTAAATAGCTTAATTCACACAATTAGAAACTATTGAATAGATAATTTGTAAACTATAAGATAAATATGAGCAAAATATTCAGATGTAGCAGAGAGAAAAGGGGTTGGAAAATATAAAGAGAAGTCATGAGGCATGAAGGAGAGAATAAGTCTTGATAGATGTTAAGCAGGAGTTCCAGAAACAGAGAATATATAATAGGTGAGAGGAAATATTTGAAGAGATAATGGTTGAAACTTCAAAATTGAGCAAAGATATGAATCTTCAAGTTAAAGTAAGAAAATGAGTCATTAAACAGGAAAATAAAAACATCTACATTTAGATACATTGTGGTGAAGCCGGAGGCAAAGAGAAAGAACTTAAAAGTAACCAGATTTGGCAGGTTACCTTCTATAAAAAATTTAAATTTATAGCAAATTCCTATCATCAACCTATAGAGGGCATAAGTTCATTGAATAATATCTCCAGTATTCTGAACAAGAATATATATCAACCTAGAATTCTGTACCCAGCTAGGTTATAATTCCAGCATAAGGGCATAATTAAGGAATTTCCTTGCAAACAAAGAGAAATGGGCTTTACCACTCATAGACCTATGCTTAAACAACCCCTAAAGAATATGCTCAAAGAAAAAGGAAATTGTACCCCAAAGAAAGGGTGGGATGTAAGAAACAAAAGTGAGCCCCCAAAAATGATTATGTGACAATCTAAGCAAGCATTGATATACAAAGCGATAACAGTAATGACTATATCAGGATATGAGAAAATGTGGACCCAAAACCCTAAAAAAACAATAATCTTTGAGAAGGAAAGTAGATAATGATTGTTAAAACATAATAAATTTCTTGGTCCCAGTGCATTCTCCTATCCTAGGAGAGTAGAGATATTAAATTTAGACTTTAATGTCAAGTATGCATATTAAAATTATAAAATTAATCACCAGAAATAGAAATGTACAATTTCTAAACCAATAGAGAAAGTAAAAAGAATAAAAAGTCAATCCATCCAATAGAATGCAGGAAAGGAGAAAAGAGAAATAAAGAAAAGGCATAGTTAAAAGCAAAAAGTAAGATACATATATAAATAATCACAATAAGTAGAAATAAATGAAACTTACCAGTTAAAGGATATATGTTCTCATATTAAATGAAAATAAATAAAACTCAGCTTAAATGATACAGAAGGGCTGAGAATAAATAAGATGGAATAAAGTATTCTAGGAACATATCAGCAACAGGAAAGAAGCTGGTATAGCTATATTAGTATCCATCCAATTAATCTTTAAGGGAAAATGCTTTGTTAAATATAGAAGTATATTAGGCAATAACAAAAAAAAACAAAAATAAACCTGGAAGATATGATAATTCTGAGCTTGTATAAACTTAGCAACTTATTCCAAAAATATGTGAAGTAAAAATTAACAAAATTCTTGGAGAAACTTGGTAAATAATCATAGTGCAAGATTTTAACACAATACTCAATAATTTTTAAGTTAAATGGATAAAAATGTAGTATGACTGCACAAGATTTTAACTACACAGTTAATAAGCTTGATTTTATGAAAGTATGTAGATTCCTGCATCCAACTGGTAGAGAACACACATTTTTTCAAGCACATAATGATAATATACTAACCCACAAAGCAAGTCTTAACAAACTCAAATAAGTCAATATCATTGAGACAACATTCTTTGATTGTAAGTCAATAAAATTAGGAGAAACTCCAACCTTTCACTCCATTTAGAAACAAACTTTAATTTTCATAAAAAATAATCATCATTTACAAAATTTAGGTGAATTTACAAGTCATTTGAATCAATGAGAGAGAAAGTTTAATAAAGGTTCTGGATACCAGATTAATATACAGAAATGAATAAAAACAATAATCAAACATTTAATTTAAAACATGTGACTTCTAATAGTAATTATAAGGTACTTAAGAATAACTCTAACAAAAGAGTTTTCTGGAAATATATAAAATTTTATTTAAGGATATACAAGAATACCTAAACAAATGGAGGAATATATTATGCTCATGGATGAGAAAAAACTTAAATTTATTAAGAAGTCAAATTTTCTCATATTATTCTATAAATGCAGTGAAATTTAATCACACTTGCAAAGGGCTATCCTATGGCTTAAGCTGCTAATAAAATTCATGTTCATAAAGAACTATGTATTGCCAAGACAATTTTGAATGTTGAAAAGTATATTAACAATATTTACAATATGGGGATATTTACCCTGCCAGATATTAAGACATTGCAGGTCTTTAGAAACTGGAACAGTGTGATATTGATAGAGGATAAACAAAAAAACAACAACAAATGGAACAGAATAAAGTGTCCAGAAACACACATAGAGGCAGCATTATAAATCAGTGGGAAAAGGATGAAATAGTCAGTTACTGGTGTGTGAACAATTGTCTCACCATATGAGAAAAGATAAAATTAGATTTTTTTACCTTTCACCATATACAAAAATAACTTCCAGATGGGCTAAAGACTTACATGTGAAACAACAACTCTGTGAAAATTTTAGAAGCAACTTTAAGAGAGTGTCTTTTTTAAAATCTCAATTCAGAATGGAGTTTCTTCAACTATTCACTAAAAGCAAAAATAATAAAGGAAAGTATTGATAAATTCCATTAAAACAGAAGAAGTTTGCATGACAAAGGAAAGACAATAAAGTATATGAATAAAAAATTACAGAAGAGCAAGATCTAAATTATATATATACACCAATCTCTCAAATATATATATACATCTATATATATATATATATATATATATATGAACT